CCTCTGCAATTCCATTTGTAATTTCCACTGACCTGATTGAGTAGCCACGGGTCATTTGCAAGGCTGGCTGAGAAGGGTTGACTCCAGCTTGGGATTCCTGAAACAGAGGCACTTTGGATGTGTACCCCCCTGTACCCCCCACCGTGGACCCCAGGGCTAGTCTTTGACCCATTTCATCTGGAACTCATCTATGGGAACTATCCCTTGGCAGGAGTAAGCTTCTGTCTCCGAGAGCCAACACAGAACTTTGAGAGAGTTAAATGTAGAGAAGAGAAGAGAATAGGCTGTGTGTGCAACCCTTTGATGGGGCCAATGAGAGATCTTTCCAGAGGATTACAGTGACACAACACTTAGCCCTCCTCACAGCCCGAGCCTGGAATAATTACCGGGGCAGACTCACTCAAAGAGGCAGTAAGCTGGCTAAGGCTCTTAGAAGGCAGCCCTGATGACATTGTTATGTATCCGTCCCAAGGCTCAGGATGCGGCAGGGTCGGGTATTAGCTGATTATCTGATTCTGTCAGCAGAGAGCTTTCAGCGAGTCCAAAGAGCCAGCCCCCAGATTTCCTCAGGGAAATGCTAAGCTTAGCCACCTGCAGAGCGGTCCCTTGCAGAGTTCTGCCCCTGGAAAGCCTCCTGGGTCCTTACGGTACCTGTGCGGAGGTGGAGGTGGACACACTGAAGTGTCTTCCAAACTTCATGTTGCCACAGGCTGCTGGGAGATTAGGTGATATGTGGCTTCCCTCCGTCCTGAACTTGAGCCACAGATGCTGTCTCCTGTGAGAGCCTTTAACATGGTCAGTCATATGCTGGTTTCAGCAGTCGAAAGTTTTCTACCTGCAGCCTTGCTGGGGGCTGTTGAAGGAGTTTGTTTTTTTTTTTTTTTTGAGGAAGATTAGCCCTGAGCTAACTACTGTCAATCCTCCTCTTTTTGCTGAGGAAGACTGGCCCTGAGCTAACAGCCATGCCCATCTTCTTCTACTTTATACGTGGGATGCCCACTGCAGCGTGGCTTTTGCCAAGCAGTGCCATGTCTGCACCCAGGATCTGAACTGGTGAACCCCAGGCCGCCGAGAAGCAGAACGTGTGAACTTAACCGCTGCACCACTGGGTGGGCCCTGAAGGAGATGTTGAATGGTTCTAAAGGAGGGTGGTGAGGAGGAGCCATTTCTGTGACAGAGTTCAAGGTCCAAGGCAGGAGGATGTGAGTGGACACGAGCAACCATTCTTTCCAATCAGGAGAGGCTCAAATGGCAGCAGGAGAGACTCAGCTTTGGTGTAGAGAAGAACTTACGTGGTTTTGAAGGTAAGCCAGGATGCCACTAATAATTGTGTTATAATAACCACATTTTATCATTTACTGCATTTGCTGTTCAAAGAACTTTCTTATATTATCTCATTTAATCCCTCCAACTGTGCCACAAGAGAAGGATGATCATTAGATTGCCATTTTACAGCTGAGACAGCTGAGGTTCAGATAAGTTACATAACTATCCAAGGTCAGCAGCTGGAAAGGGATAGAATCAGAATTTCGACCCAGGCAAACTGATGCCAGAGTCTGGGCTTCTCCCTGCTGCTCTCCAGCTGCCTCCCTGGAAAAAGTCAAGAAATGCTGGAGATAGTTCTGTCTGGCCTGGGCTGGGTACCTGCCCGAGACAAAGAAGTGGGTGAGGGGTCTTCTCAGAGGCCTTTGCGCTCTGTGGGTTTGCGACTCTGGGAGCCTGGAAATGCTCAGTGATGGTGAGTGTGGCATCCTCACGGACTTGGCTCCCTTCCCACATGGTTTCTCCATGCTCCACCCCCTCCCACGAACTGTGGGAGGGCAGGAGTCAGGAGGAGGGAGCCTGCGGGGACTAAGTCTGGCTTGATGCCTCTGTGCTTATCCGCTCTGCTCTCTCAGCGCAGTTGCCTGACTCACACCTGTTGACTTAGGTCACTGACTCCCAAGTCGGGCCGAGGGGTCAGTCACCTTTTCCATCCATCCTCTATCCTGATCTGAATTATCTCGCACAAGTGGTGCCCCCAGACCCCACAGCTCTGGCCCTCCTGCTCTCGTTCTCGGCTTAGCAGGTTTTCATCTGGCCCACGAGGGCTTGTCAGTTTCAAGAGCCCCCTGACCTTTTAATAAGCATTTCCTATGTTATCAAAATATTTCCTAATTCATTCCCTTCTGTCCCTGAAAAATCTAAATCCTATTTAAGTTAATGCCCTTCATTTTCATTTATAAAGACAGATACAAAATAATTATTTCCTATCTCCGTGGTTTCCTTATCTCTGGTTCTAATATGCCTTCGGCAGACGAACACTTCCCATCAGTTGAAACAGTTTGAGTATTTGTTTTTTGTTCTTTAAAGAAGAAAAATAAAATGCTTTCTTGGGCTTTGTCTCCTCCGCTCTCTTCTCATTCAGCCTCACTGGGCTCCCTTCCTCTCTTCCCGTCTGCCGCTCTCCCTGGGGGCCTCTCTCTCCCTCTGCCTGTCCCCTCTCCTGCGGCCCGGCTCTTGCTCAGCCATGCTGGGCTCCTCTCATTTTCCTGTTGGTGCTGTGGTGTCTCTGCAGCCTCACATCTGAATTTCATCAGCTCCTGAGCCTGCCTTTGAGCTCAAGTCCCCTCAGCTAGTAAAATTGGTTTGGATGAGCAGACGCAGTCTCAAAAAGAAACATTCTTTGGTTTCCTCTCATGAAAACCAGTGAGCGGAGAATTCACAGTTCTCTTCTCGGGGCGTCTCTTTGAAGTGTTTGATTGAAAGGAGAAGGGATGAAAAGGGATGAGGGGATAGTGGTGGGCATAAGGATTCTGGGTTTAAGTAGCAACACTGAAACTAGGGACTCAGACTTCCAGAACCCTCTCGGTTTTTTTTTGCTATTTGGGTCGGGGCAACATTGACTGTTATTTTGGCTTTCTGTTCCCGATCCAGTCTTTCACTCTCCTGTCTTTTATTTTGAGATAAAACTCAACACACAATTTAAATCCGGGGTTTAGGAGAAAGTCATTAATGGAAGCAGGCTGATGTTAAGGGGATCAGCTCGGGTCTCAGCAAATGGTTGTTCAAACTCAACAGGTGGCACTTGCTGAGTGTCTTCTATGTGCCAGCCACGTGAGTGACCTCATTTATGGCTCACGACCACCCTGTAACCTGGGGGCCGTGGTTCCCGATTTTCCCCATGAGGACTCTGAAGCTCAGAGAGCCTGAGTGACTGGCTCATGGCACTGGGCCAGCGATGGTGCAGCCAGGCTCAGAACCTGGGCTGCCTGACTCCAGAGCCTGGACTTCCTTCAGACCCCTCACTCTCCATCACCCGGGCCTTCCGGAGAAAGAAGTGTGTATGACTCTTCAGCTTCAAAGTCTTTGTCAAGGCCAAGAAGGAACCCTGAAGAGCTCTTTTGTGAAGGTATCTAACGACGAACCCTGAGCTCTTTTATCATCTGTGTGGAATGCAGGTTATGAGATACAGAGAGAAAAATGCAAGAGAAAAAGGTTTGAAAGTATGGTGCCGGGGAGAGGTCAAAGACTGCTGGACGGGCACCTTGGACTGGCTCTAAATCACACCTCTTCATTTTGTAGTCAAGGAAACTGAGGCCCAGGAAGGGGTGAGTCTGACTTTGCCTTCACTTGGCTCAGCAGCTAAGATACACTGATCGAGCCACAGCCCCCAGAGACCTCTACATCATGTTCTGGAGGAACACGGGGAAGCCACATGAGCTTGACCGAGGGAGGCCGGGGAACTGGGCAGCTTCCTCCATAAGACCCAGACTTGAGCTAAAGAAGGGGAGGTCAGCAATGGCCAGAGACTTCTGGATAAAGAAAGAGAGGTCATGAGGCTAACACTCCTAGACAACCAAACTCTGAAAGGAACAAGTGTCCCTGAGGCCGAACTCCTAAGAGCGGTGTCCAGTTTTGGTCACTGGATAGGGCTGATCAACCAGTGCTGTCTTTCTTCTGGCTCCCTGGAAGGTCCTGGCCTGGGAACCAGTGACTTGGTTGCCCATGTACCTGGGCTCAGTGACATGCATAGAAACCTCATAAAATATCATCAGTACAGTTTTTGCGTAGTTCAGGCTGGAGGGTAGGAAGGATAATGTCGTAAGGAGGGTCCCATAGTTGGACACTATTTGCAAAGCAGTGTTAATTAAACAGCTGTTTCATAGAATGAAACTAAAACCTAGCCAGTTGAGATAACATCTTCCAGTTGATGTTTGAAAGGCGAGAAGAGGTCTTCCTGTGTCTTGTCCTGTGATGTTACCATTAGAACCCTTCTCTTGCTCCTAGGAGGTACCTCTAAAAACATACATGTGTAACTAGCCAAGAGAAGCATATTGAACCATTGGGATAACTGGTTTGAAATGGGGCCACGAAGGATGGGGCTCCAGGACAAGTACGGTTTGATGGGTGTCTGAGTAGCTAGGGATGGGGAAGATGGCAGATTTTGAAGTGATCTGAGCATAAGTTTTCTCACTGGGGGATCAGGACCTTGGAGTGGGGGAAGAAGGGAAGGAGGCTCGGGGAAGAGAAGATCAATCCTGAAACGTGGCTTCCTAGACACAAAAGGAGCTTTGCCAATCTCACATGGTTCTTGATATCTGCTCCAGGGTGAAGGGAGATGCTGCCTGGTATAGAGGAGAGGAGATACGGGGCTGCCTCTCTGAGCTTCAGTTTCTGGTCCCGTAAAATGAGGGTGTGTGGCTATCATATTTTCTAAACTTCAGTTTATTCAGGTACTGTTTTCTTGAGTTTTGACAGAGCTTCATTTTTCTTTCAATTGGCTTACTTTTAAAATTTGTCCTCACTGTAAACATACGATCCATAATACATGGGTTTGGTGTGCAAGTCATATATTCTAACGTATATTAAAATAAACTTAACTACTAATTTTCTTTAAGGTTCATCTACGTATCACCTAAAATTACCTTTGTGCTTCCCTCTGAGGAGCTCCGGGCTAGATGACGGCAGCCCCCCCTCCACCCTGCCCCCACCCCCACCCCATCTCTGCGATGCGGTGATGTGTTACACAGGGGAACTCCTTCCTTTTCCCTTTCTAAGTGGAGGACAAGATTTGCAGAAGCTCCAAATCCCTATTGGGAAAGAGAAAAGGATCTGCATGTTTCACGGATGCTGAACCCAGATTCGGAGAGGAATGACAAAGTCATCTCTAATTGCAGCCAATTACTCTACCGGGTGGTACTGGTAAGGAAAATGACTTCAAGTCTAGAGTTGTCTTGGAAAGAATTACCATACTGGTAAATAATTTTGACTCGAGTAATTTGTAATGCTAAAATTTTCTACGAGTACTTAGAGAATAAAAGAAAAAAAACCCAATGCCTTCATTAGAGCTTAATAAGGCCGTTTTGTAATTAATAACCCATCAGTCACACCTGTAATTTTGCGTAAGAAGAAGAAACATTACTATGTATTTTTTTCTTTTTTCTTTTCTTTTTCTTTTTTAGAAGGGCAGAATTGTTTTCTGTGCTCCCTGGGGCCTGAGAGCATCCACTGGAAGGCGTCCTAGGTTATTCTAATTCGTCGCTTGTCTGAAGGAACAAAAATTCATGAAGGTGGACATGCACATATCTTTTCCTGGCCATGAGAGAGTGGCTGGTTTCTTCTTTTTTCTCTGTGCCCAGTTTCATCATCTGTAAAATGAATACAAAGTGAGATGGCGTGAGGACCATTATGCTTAAGTACTGTATGTGCGTGTATATATACATATATGTATCTGTAAGCTGCTGCTGTATCTTTAAGCAAACAACTGATACTAAATTGCTTGGAATAACTTATTAATTTATCATTTTATTTATTCTTATTCATTAAGTACCTATTAAACACTATCATTCATCATTCAGTCCATCCCTCTGTCTATCCATTGATCTACATTTGTGACAAATGTTTATCAAGTATCATATGCTATATCTTAAGGGAGATACAAAAGAGGTGTAGGAGAGAGTTCCTGCCCTTCATGATCTTGGAATCTGTTTTATCAAAAAGATATTGACAGGTGATAGTTACCTAACAATACAACCTGGCAGGAGCCAATGATATCATAAATGATGCAGAGGGCAAACATTCTAAGAAGTAACTGTTTTAAGAATTCGGAGAAGGGGAGAAAGATCCTGGTAGGGTGGTGGGTTCAAAAAAGTATTTGAGGAAGGGGCTAGGAGACTGGGGCCGGGTGTTAAAGGATGAATTGCATTTGGGTTGGCAGAGAAGATAGTAAAGGGTAAGAATTGGGTATTTCAGATAATCAGCTTGGCCATCCACTTGCTGTTGGACTTTTGGCAAATTTTTTGACCTTTCTGGTTCTCAATGTTTTCCTTTGTAAAATGGAGGATTGGTTGCTCCAAAATTTTATGATCCAGTGAAAATCTAGACAGAGGGAAGAGCATGAGTGATTTCATCAGAGAGGCAGGGAAAAGGCTTAATGACCTTGGAAAGACCTTGCCTGATTTGCCCAGAGTGACTGTTCTGCATCAGAAAGAACGGGCTCTGTTTGAACTGAGGGCCACAGCCTGGAGGTTTGATCTGAATTTCCTTTCCCCGGACTGGAAGAAACACAGTCTCACTATCTTGCCAACAACTGCCTGTGGCAAATTCAGTGCCCTGCTTGATATAGCATTTGGAGGAAATTTTTCCATGAAAACAAAAGTTTTTGCTTAATTATTCAGCACATTCATGCATTTAAAAATCCTGTCCACTCTCTAACTAGCTGTCTTTTTAACAAAGATTCTTGGCTTCCCAGGAGCTGGACCTCCATTGTCTAAGGCTTCCTTATAAAGAACTCGGGGCCAGGCATCGTCCCAGCTGTCCCAGGGCTTAGAGAGAAGCTTCCCCAGGCAGACGGAGGTGTCTAAAGTGTCTTTGCACAGAGATGTGAGGAAGGAACATTCAAACTCCCTAGGGGCTGGTGTAGCAGACTACAGACTGAGGCGAGACAGTAAGACAAGGCCATTTGACCCGTGTGGATGGTGAATTTTACGGGATCGGAGAAGACTTTCCCCACGCTATCTCTTCATCCAATTTTTATCTATCCATTCATCTAACATCCATTCATCTCTCCATCCATCTAACATATATTTGCTGCTTACTCTGTGTCCCATACTGTTCCAGCTCCTGAGACCCCCATGTATAGAGAAGAATCAGTGTAGGGCAATTTTTTAGGGGAAATTGGGAATTTTCCTCATGGCCCTGAGGAGACCTTGCAATTTTTGCCTTGCCCAAATTTACCTCTGATTTCTTTGAAGCTTTCTGGTCTCATGGCTTTTAGGAGGGTTTGGCTCTGCTGACGGTGATTATCCACCTTGAGGGGAGTCAGATCTCAGCTCCCAGAGGGCAGAACCATGTCCATATTGCTCACTTCATATACAGTTCAGCCCAGCACTAGATCAGCAGAAGCCCAATGACTAAAAGATTTGGGTGATGAAAATGCTATTTATCAAAACAGCAGCCCACTTAGATGCCAAGTTGCAGCATTTAATGCAGTCACCAGCCTACGTGTGTCCCCTTAACACTCTAGCCTGCTTCCCCAGCCTCCTTGCTGAAGATGCCAGGAACAGCGACATCAAAAGAAAGAGAAAGTGTCTGAAGTTGGAATTGTGAGTCATTCTAGAGCAAAGTCAGGGGGCTGGAAGGGATTGTCACTTTGCCCGTGACCCTGCCAGAGGGTCTTTCCACCACCACTCACCTTTGCTGGGGAGCTGCCATCCAGAGGCGTGGGTTGAATCATGGTGGGGGTGGGGGGGCGGTGTTGAGGAATGGGATTTGCAGCCGTCGTCAACCTTGAGTCACAGAAGGTAGTTCAAGCTTACCAACCATTTGATTTCCATAACTGGAATAGAAGATGATGAGAGGATAGCAACATTAAGAAAGCATTTAGGAAGACATCTGATAGGACTTCCTGACTATTAAGGTCCCAAAGAAGACTGAGGAGTTATTAAATTAGCCATGACCTTTGGTTTCTTCATCTCTTAAATGGGGATAAGAATATCTGTCTTGAAGGCATTTATGATAATGGGATTTACAGAGATAATATATATGAAGGCATCTAGCACAGTGGTTGGTATATAATATACAGTTAACACTTGTTGCTTGAATCCAAATCTGAACCTGGAGAGGGCAGGAAAGCTTCTCAAAGAAATTGGCCTCTAAGCTGGACTATGTAAACTCCTCAGAATACTTTGACCAATAGGATGTTGTCTTTCAATGATCTCCCCTCATGGACAGTCTGTCTTGCAAATGGCTCTAGTGATATTGACTTTAAAAATGAAATGATTATCCCGAGCCCCCTTTGGAAACATAAAAAGCATAGTGCAAAGAGATCACTGCCTTCCTCAGATTCCATGATTTGCCCTTGCCGAGAGGCAGGAGGTCTCATGGGTCATTGGCACAGAGCCCTGGACATGAGCTATGGTTTCTGAGGAGGCAGGAGAAAATAAAAGCCCAGCATTTTGTCAATAAGTGTCTCAACTATCTATTGCTAAGCTTATTCTTTTCAATTCCCCATTCCTTTCTTACGTCAAAAGGAAAGAGGGCAGAGATTCTCCATCCCCACTAAAGACAAAATAGAGAGAATAGACTGACACTACAAAAGTGAGGATATCAGGTAGACTTTGGCAAGAACTTCCAAACAGAAAAGAAGAGATTAAAATTGGAATGGATAGCCAGGGCCAGCCCTAGATTCTTTTTCAGGCATCTCCGAGAATGGGAGTGGCCACCAACTACTGTCTACTAAAGCAGGTGCGTGACAAGATTATCCTGTAAGATTTCTTCCAGATGCGCCAGAGACAAGGCTGGGAAGCAGCTGTCATGCTTAACTTAAGAAGCTGCTGAGCGTGGTTGAGGTCAGAGGCAGTTACTTAAAAGGGTACGTTTCATTTCTGCTGCCATTTGGTAAAGGAAGGCACTGGGCTGGAGATTCATTTGACAAGTGGGGTCAGGAAAATGGGAATTGTTGATCCCAGGTGGCCAGAACGCCTCCCAGTGAAGGTAAACAGAAGTGGAGACAGATCAAGAGGTGAAGGATCACTCCATTAGGAGGCTGACAAGGCCAGCTGTCTTCTGGAGTGTCTGGAGGGAGGGATGCGTGTGTGTTTGGCCTCAGGCTCAGGATGAGGGGGGTGAGGGACAAAGGACAAGAGCAGCAGGATGAAGGAAGGGATCCCAGCAAGAGTGAGCAAGGGGCATCTCTAACCCAATCAGACGTTATTTCTGCTTGAAGCATGGATGCTGCTTGCTTTGGGCAGGTATGCCTTGTGCTGCAATTGTGCCAAATGGAGTTGAGTGGTTGGCTAAAAAAAACTCCACTTACTCATTTGCATGTGGTTTTTGCATCTCATCTGCATACTATTTACTTAATGTCATATGCATACAACTTCCCAGCTCTTGCTTATACTCCTCCCCAACCCCCACCGAGCTCCTTCATTTCTCAACACCTCTGCCTCCATGTTTTTTTTTCTCCCCAGTTTGTGATTTTCTTCTTCCAAAGTTGTAAAAGGAGCAGATTTTCGAGTTGGGTAGACTTGCACTCCAATCTAGCCTTCTCCATTTACCTATCTTCTGAGCTTCAGCAAATCTATAATCTCTCTTACTCTCATCTATAAAATGGGAACAATATCACCTTCATCTCAGAGTTGTTGCAAGGAACAAATTAAATAAAGTAGGCAAAAAACCCACCTGGCCCAACAGCAGGAACTCGACGAGATAGACCACTTCTGTTCCCAGCTCTCTCCTGATGCCTTCCACATCAATTCAGGAAAACTTTGTGGCTCTGGGGTCCCTACTTGGTGTTTTCCTTGGAACTGATGGATAAGCTTGTTGTCTCTTCAAATTCTCCTCTTTTTGGTCATGTGTCCAAGCTGCATTTAGAGCCAGGGCAAAGGGAGAAGAAACAGTGTCAGCACCAACTGTTCCTTTCTGGTATCTTCCAGTGTCCTCTAACCGAGGGCTGCTCTCCTCCATCTTCCCCAGCACCCAAAGCCCAAGAATGCCCTGGTTGCTAATACCTGGGCGGACTTACTTCCTCTGCAGCCTTTCTCCCAGGCCTCACATCAGCCTGATCCCCAAAGCCTGGGGCGCATCCCCAAATCCCTGGCTTCTCTGGTGTCCCCGACAAGGCCACGTGTCTCAGACTGCCAGAGATGCCTGGGTCAGCTTCCAAGAATCCCTTGTCTCTTTATCCAAACAGCATCCTGGCTTCTCTGAGGCATTAGCTGCAGGGTTTATATTTGAGAGACACACAGTGAGGAGGAAACTGTTAAATCTCATTCTGCATCCTGAACAGCCACTTTTGTGAAACTCTCCTTGCATCTCCTCATCACTTTCACTCAGCCATTTTTGTTTTCTCTTTTCCTCTGAAGCAAGGGTGAGGAGCTATCTTATAAAATAAGAATAGAGGCCGGCCCCATGGTGTAGCAGTTAAGTTAGGTGCACTCTACTTCAGCAGCCCGGGGTTCGCGGGTTTGGATCCTGGGTGTGGATGTACACCACTCGTCAGCCATGCTGTGGCAGTGACTCACATATAAAATGGAGGAAGATTGGCACAGATGTTAGCTCAGGGCTAATCTTCCTCAGCAAAAAATAAGAAGAATAAGAATAGGTAATACTCAAATAGCATGTCCTATGTGCCACATAATATTCTAAGCACTCTATGCATATTACCTCATAATCCTCAGGACAATCCTATGGAGTAGCTCTCAATATTTTCCCCATTTTAAAGATGATAGGAAGAAGTCAAACAACTTGTCCAAGGTCTCAGAGCTAAGCAGAGTAGAGCCAGGATTCTAATCTGGACACTCAGCTGCAAAGTCCATTATCTTGACCATTTCTCACTGTGGGTCAACATAGGGGAGGTGTGCATAGGACAAAAAGCAATTATTCTTGATGTTTTCCAATTTGGGGGTAAGAAAGAGCAGACTTTTGTCATAGTAAGTAGGATTAGGTGAGACATCAGGTACAACTTCCTGTTTCAAAGAATTAAGGGCCATATCATACGTATGGGATACCCTGGTACCAAATAGTGGCTCTCTTAGGGTCTGCAAAAACCATGTGTCTCGAAGCATGGAGAAGTGGTGACTATTGAGTGAGAAGTTGGGTCAAGGAGAGAATTAAGGGCTGCAGAAAGGTGACCAGAGAATCAATGGGTGGATTAATCAATACTTATTGGGTATTCTGTGGAAGGTACTTTAACCAGAATTTGCTGAGAATCTCTTCTGTGCAAGGCCCTGTGCTAGGCACCAAGGGAGGATGGGCCGGGACACTTCCTTGGGTGCTTTCCAGATTCGGAAGACCAGAAAGCCTCGTTTAGGCTGACTCTATGGCCTTTACTTTGTTCTCTTCGTCCTGCCCTCACACGCTCCAATCTCTGTCTATACTTGCTCAGTCTCAAGAGCCCCTGCCACTGGGCTGGGACTGCCCACCAGCTCCGGACTCACTCCAGACTCACTCCTGGAAGTCCTCCCTAAGGGTTTGCCGGGAACCATGTCCCAGATCAGCAGGTCTGTGAAGACTTCTTCCACTTCCCTCCAAGGACTCCTCTGAGCCTGCCTTGTCGGTTCCCAGGAGGATGGAGTGTCAGTTCTTTCTAATCCCATCATCCGGTCATAAGTTTACAGGGGAGTCATTCATTCACTTAGCCTTTGGGTCACATGCTCTACAAACACTTATTAATAGTCTCACATGTGACAAACCCTGTGCTGAAGCCCAAGGATACAGAGATCAAAGAGTTCTGTACGCTCCTGCTCCCAAGGGCCTACTGTTAGCCAGGGAGACAGACAACTTCAGAACAGGTTGCACCATAGCCCCAGATCCATCCTGGCCTAGGGGGACAACCTAGAAAATCTGTCCCTTGATCAGGGTCCCTCACCGATCCTGTATTTTTAGTATGGCTATATTTGCTGTCCATCCTACCAATTAATTAATCAAGTGCATTTTATTTTATATTCTGGGAGTTTGGGTGTTTTGAAGGCAAAAATGCAAATATATGCAAATCAGCACACAAATTTATGCAAAGACAACATGGAAATGTGTCCCCAGATTTCCTGGGAAAAAAATCTGGAGGTCTCCGCCAGTCCCTCAGCAGGCTGCCTGTCCCCAGGCCTGTCCTATCTTCCCTTTTGTTTGGGTTCTTAATCTACGCCGGGCTCCCTGCCTGGCCACTCTGAGGTCGGTAATGCAGGTGGGCAGGTAGCAGCCTGACCATCTATTATCCGGGAACCTCTCAGCTTCCGGAGCCACTAGAAAACTCTCTTACTCCCTGTAATCGGCTTTCATCTGAAACAATCAAGAGATTTCCTACCACTTTCCCCTATGACCAGGTCTCGTAAAGCACCCAGATGCTGAGTTTCAGGCTTGGAGCTTGGCTTGACGAAGAGACTTAATGGAGGAGGTTGGCGTTGTCTGCCTATTGTTATTGAAAAATAAATCCAAACCCTTTTATTGACCATCTTCTGTGTGCACAGTCTTGGTTTCCCCAAGAGCTGGGAGATGACGGTTAGGGCTGGGAGAGGTGAGGGTTGGGAGGACTGCAGAGACTCTGCGGCTTTGCAAGGTAAGACTGCCCAGCAGGTGTCACCGTGATAAACAGCCTGTCACCCGTGCTGGACAGAAAACCTCATGGAAGCAGCGTGGTGGGAGGAGGGCCTGTGAGGGCAGACGCTGACGGGGACAGCACGAAAAGAGGATCAGCCACGTCCACTTGCAGAGTGTCATTGGGTAGTCTGGCTTTGCAGCGCCAGAGAGCAACGGGAGCCTGAGAACACCGGCTCAGGGCAGCCAGGGTTGGAAAGGACAGTGGGAGGGAGGGCTGGCCTGAGGGCTGAGCCGGCTACCTGCTCACGTTCCCACCTCTCACCAGGAGAGCGAGAACTTGGCACTATGTCTAGGTCTTTGCTCAAGCGCACACAGGCTCACGTACCATCAACTTCCCAAGCATGGCCAGACCCTCACGAGAATGTGTGAGCTGAAGGCGGCCTGAAGGGCTGGATTTAGGCTGAATGTGAAGAACTTACGGAGGGTGGGTGTCGTGAGACACTAGAACAGGTGATTAAGAGAGGATGTGAGATCTCCTTCCCTTGGAGAGCCTTTGAAACAAATTCGAAACCCATTTGCTGTGTGGGAGAGGAGGCACGGTTCTGTCTGGAGGCAGGGGGATGGGCTGGATGACATGTCCAAGTCCAAGAAGACTAAGGATAGACCCACCCAAGTAGAGTGTCAGATTGCCTGCCCTTGTGTGGTCAGGCCCGCAGACGCAGAGCAGAGTCCTTCTCACTTTCTTTCCCTCTCTCCTTCCGATGACAGTCTCAACAGACCAGTGGGTCAAACCATCCCCTCCAGGATGAACTGGAGCTCTGTTTCATCCTGTCACTCATGCCCTCTCCCTTCTCTGTGTGGAGGCAGAGCTTCTCTCATCTCTGGGGAAGCTCCCCTCCAGGCCAGGAGTGCTGGGCAGCCTCGTTGCCATTCCGGCCAGAGCCAGGAGCTCAGCCCTCCGGAGGGGCACAGGGCAGCATTCTGGCAAGCAAGCATGTCAGAGCGGCTCTGGCGTTTCCCTAGAACAATTCAAATTGCTTTTTTTACACCTCACTGCACTATGCCAACCCTGATTCACATTATTTGTGCACTCGCTAAGTGTACATTATCTGATCCGTCACCCTGTAAAACGCTGCAAGAGGAATCCGTGGCTCCTGTCTGCTGGTGACTGCGGGTCAGGCACAGAAGTCTCTGTACAAATATTTTTGCAAAATGGGAAGGAAGGAATAAACCCAATGCCATCAACAACAATAGCGCAGCATGGCCGTGGGCTGAGAGAGAAAGTCCACGTCTCCTGCCCCAGTAACTCAGACTCTCCTGGAAAAGACAGCTCAACCAGAAAGCCCCAGAACCTTTTCTTTCCATGGCCTCCTTTCTGTGTCACATTATTTAACAGGAAAAGACAAGCAGGAGGGGAAACAAGTCCTTGAACCCAACTATGCAGATTTCCTCTGACTGGAGCTAACGGGTCTGGAGAGAGCTGGAGGCAAGAGGTAGAGAGGGGGTGGGCATCTGAGAGAGAGCAAGAGGGACAACACTCTCTGTCTTGTGAATATCTCAGCTTCTCTGCGGGTGACTGGGGCTCCCTGTCCTGCTCAGCCCAAGGTACTCTGAAAATTGATCACAGACCCTGGAATCCTTCCATTCTGGGTCAGCTGGGAGCTTTGCTAACTGGCTGCCAGGTTCCCCCACTAATCCCTCGAGTTAGCTTATTTCTAGGAAGCCCAAATGTTCTAGAGTTATTAGAAAATCGATGGATTCCTACTTTTGACCAGACATTTTCCCACCTTTATCTCTTGTACAATCTGTGTAAATGGGACACTTTCATGTTCTTGGAGATCTGGCTCTGTCCTAAGTGGTCCCTGGAACTTTGACAATTCATCCCATTGAAGATCAGGGTCTTATTCTAAATGGGAACAGCTAGGATCTTCTGTAGGTTGGATGAGAGCTCTTGCCCAAATTTGAAAGTGGGTCCCTCTTTCTGCAGAGGGAGCCTCAGGTCCATCTTCGTATTCAGACAAAGGACTTTCTGTGCGGGAGTCCAGGTCTCCTGCACCACCTCAGCCCTGAGTTTAATTCACTGCGTGCGTACGGCGAGCACACAGGGAGCGTGAGCCCATCCCAGGGCTTGTGGGATGGAGGGAGCAGAACAACAAAAAGAGCTGGTCCCTGCCCTGGGGTTGCTTGTGATCCGGTTGGTTGACAAATCGCTACCTTCCCCAGCTGCTCCTGATTGGGCTCCAGCCGCGGGGCTCCTGAAGGGCATTTCGCAGCGAAGCCCAGGGGTTGCCCAGCTGAGAACCACGTTTCCTTTCTTTTGGCAGGAGCCAGCAGCTGCCACATGGGAGCTCACATCTCAGTGAAAACAAGAAATCTGATGCCTCACTGACAACTCATTTTCTCAACCTTCATTCGGCGAAAGGCGACTTTGTGTTCCAGCTGCCATATTGTAGCCGCAACCCCTGATGCACCATCAATTAAAAACGGCAATAATTATGCATGGGAAAAAAGCCACAGATAATAGGCTTCCATTAGATTAAGTAGTTATATGAATAAAAAAAATAAAACCTATACTTCGGCTAATTAAACCCACTCACCATCTGATTAAGATGTGTTGTGAGACCATGGAAAAGTACCAGCCACTAACTGTAAGTAATCCGGCACAGATGGGAATTAACAGTATATTCCCTGGCATGGCGATAATGGATCTCCATAGAGGTTAATCAGAATCATTAATAAGCATTGACAGGATGGACAGGACCAAACAGCTGGTGCCTGATGTTGGGGTCAGGGCAGGCCATGCTCCTGATAAAAATGGCTTCTCAATTCCTTCCACTCCACCTACTGGGATCTGGCTGAGGACAGATAGATGTGCTGACCTTTGGAGACGCCATCAGTGGACTGG